CTGCCACTGCGCTCAGGGGAGGCTTGGGGGACACATGACCCTTGGATTTGTGCATGGAGTGAGGGCAGGCTGCACCAGCCTCTTCCCACTTGTGGCGGTCAGGCAGGACAGGGCAGGTGGCAGCAGTGCTGGGAGAGGGGCTACAGGGAATTTTGGGCCCACTCTGTAGCCCGTTTCCCAGCGCTGCCACCACCTACCTTGTCTCCATCTGCTCTGAGCACAGCCTTGGCCCAGCCCCCCCACTGGGAAGAGGCTAGTGCAGCCCCTGGCCCTGAGCCTGCAGTGAGCAGCCCGCCCTCACCCTGCGCACAAATTTGGGGGGGCACATGCCCCTCCAACCCCCCCCAAGGGTGCATGCAGTGGTGGGCAGCCCCCCTGTGGCCCCCCAGATGAGCCACCCACAGCTCTGTCCCATGCCACACCTCAACCCAGCTGGGCAGCACCTGCCCATGCCCCTGCTCCAGCCCCATACTGCTCCCCCCCCCTCCCCCACCCCTTTCTCCTCAACTTACTAGCTGGATGCTGGTCTCCAAGCTGCCGGGCTGCATTCCTGGCTGCGTGCATGCTGTGGCTGTGCACATACATGTTGAATTTATTGGTGACGTTATCAGCTACACTGGCCAAAAAAAGCTGATTGCCAGTTATGTCAATTTTCCTTTTATCGGGGCCGATCTGATACGGACTGATATGTCAGTATACTTCTAAGAAATATCCAAAAGTTTCTCATAAGGATAGGGCTATTTGTGTTGCATACAACTCTGCTGCATTATGGCTTACCTTTGTACATGAAAATATTTTTTAAATATATATTTTTTTAATTGCAACATGGAGAATATCAAAGATATAGTTAAACCATTATCATTCATGTATACACCTGAAGTGCAGAGACCAGATTCCAGTGTTCTAGACAATTACGTATCCTACAGCGTATAGGTCAACACATTGTATAAGTCAATCATGTATTTCTATAAAAAAAAAAAATTAGGATTTTTGTATGTCCTTTGTATAAGTTGACCCCACCTTGGTTTGAGAGGCACTGGAAACTGAGGCAGGCTTGTGGGAGAGGTCACATACTGACAGGTTCCTGGGAAGTTAAATCGGGCCCCTGGCAGTTCAGGCAGCACATAGCCCACTGGCAGCCCACCTGGCCGGCCCTGGACCAGGACTCCCCACAGTTCAGGGACTGCCTGGCCCAGCAGTAGCTCACCCCCCAGCTATGGGGCATGGGGAGAGGCTCTGCCAAAAGCAAAATTGGGCGCCTCACCACTTCTGCCTTCAGCAGGTGCCTGTAGCTGGCAGAATGCCTGGGGTGGCAAAACAAGGGGCTGGTTTGCCCCAGGGGCAGTATGGGGTGTTGGGTAGGGGAGGTGGGGAGGCTAGGGGTGTTGGGCAGGGCTCCCCCACCTCCGGCCTCCCCCTGCCCCTGCCCAACACCCTGTGCTGCCCCTGGGGCAAGCCAGGTCTGTCTCGGGCAGCCACAGTTGCCTGCTGAAAGCAGAAGCAACGAGGGGCCTGATCCTGCTTTCAGCAGAGCCTCCCCACCTGCCCTGTGGCCAGGGAGTGAGCAGTAGCCAGGGGGTAAGCTGCCACCAGGTCAGGCAGCCCCTGAGCTGCAGGGGGGCCTGGTTCTTCCCTCTACTGTGGCAGCAGCCCCTGGGGACAGCTGGGCAGGCTGCCAGCGGGCCATGTGCTGACAGAGATCCCAGGGGGGGTCCAGGCAGCACCGCTCACAGGGGTGGTGTATAAATCAATGTTCAATTTTAAGAGAGAAAAATAGGCTTCAAAACTTGACTTGTATACCATGATATATGATATGTGTTTTCCAGACTCTTCATAAGTTGAGACTTTCAGAAAAACAATCCAATCCCAATATACCTGCTTCTTTCCTCCAGTTCTACCGTCATCCTCATAAGCAATTGTCTTCCATGGTAGTCTTATCTGTGCATCCAAAGAAGCCTATCCAGGATCGACAGACTCTTTTGCAGCCTTCAGGCACATGTTTCTGTGCAGGGTGGTTGGCTCTGGATTCTTGGTGTGGTCTGCAAGGTGCTGTTCCTGCTGCTTCGGTTCTGTCTCCTGTAGTCATAAGGTTTGAAAGTACTGAGATCTTTGCAGAAGACTCTTCCTCCATTGGGGTGATCCTGAATGATATTTCCTATGAGTTTATGTTGACTTTGCATTGTTTTCAAGTTGGCCATCAGGACATCCTTGAAGCGTTTTCTGTACCCTCCCCTGGAGTATACACCTTGACTGAATAAAACTTTCTTCAGGAGCCTGAAATTGTACATCCAGATGATGTGGTTGGCCCAGCAAAGTTCCAGTTTTACTACGTTGTTAATGTCCTTATTCATCTTTCAAACCCACACAGCTCCCTTTGTACTCCCTTTGGTATATCCATTTTTTTGGGACCTATACAATCAATACTGTCTTCCTTTTCCCTTTGTCCTGTCATCAGCTGACTTCCTTTTCTTTTCCCAGCACAGAAAGAAGTCAAAATAAATGTGGCCCTCAGCATGGCTACAGGTCACTTTGTAGGTCTTCCTACATGTAGGATAAGAACAGAGCATTTTATTTATTTATTTATTTATTCGTACTGAAGTTGAATACTTTCTGTTCATCTCTCATGGAAACTTTTCTACAAGCAAATACAACTTTGAGAATTTTAATTACATTTTTAAATGTGTATTATGTATATGCAAATTAGTTTAATCACAGGGTTAGATCCATAACAGGACTGAGACACCCAAAACAGGAATTAAAGAGGCTTTAGGGGTGCAGCTCCCCACAATAACTGAGAATGCTTTGCAGGAAGAGTTCTGAGTTGCAGTGATCCCCTGGACCAAACAAGTTCATCATTGGTTCCAGGGAGGAGGGGAATCTAGCTGCTGACTGGGAACCTGCAGCCAGTTTCCTCTAGCAACAGCCCCTTCTCTTTCCCAGCCTGTCCCTGTTTCAGAATGGGAGTGGGGGGAAGGCAGCAGAGGGAGCTTATTCTAAGGCTTCCCCAGCTGGTGCTGGATGGTGGGGTAGATGAATTGGAGTCCCCCTACCTCGGGGTGGGTGGGGGGGCACCAATACACCTGTCCCACCGTTCAGCAGGGGCTGAAACCCCCCCCAGACCAAACTCCCTCCCTTCCCTGTCCCTCCTCCCATTCTGAAAACAGCTTAAGGCTGGGAGACGGTGCAAACAGAAGTTACAGATGAAGACGCTCCAAAACAGAGCATCTTCTGACCCCATGCAATGAGAGTTCAGATTTTTCACCGGAGCGGCCCCACTTTCAGTTATACTACTGGTTTAATGCTGTCTTGATCCTGAGGGGCTTCGAACACGCATCTCTTTCCTAGGACAACTAAGGCATCTTGGGATGCCTTGAAGCCCTTCTAAGGAGGAGCACTGTTTGTTGTGCAAACACCTATACGTGATTCACAGGATAAACCTGGGGATTTCAAATGGGAATCCATATTATGAAAAATGTTCTTACCTGCTGTGTTCCTTGTTTTTCTTCTTTTCCATAGCTGACAAACAATTGAAAGCTAAGAACTGGCCTTTTCTGAGAGGTGCCCAGTATCTAAAAAGGTTTGGAAACCACTGTTCTAGGAGAATACCCAAACTGCCAACCTACTGCCTAGGCTGGCTGGGGGAACATTCCCCCCACCTATTGAAATTGGGCTAATTGTGAAGAAAGGAGTGCTCGTTGTATGGGGTTAGGGGGAAAATAAGCAAGATTGAAGCTTAGTGGGTAGGACATTCTGCTGCAGAGATTCTGTTTCCTGCTTCCATGATATGTTTATGCACTTTACATTAAACAATCATTGGACAGGGGGGAAAAAAAAAACAAACCTGAGACAGGATCCCAGGGTTCCTCCAGGTGTGCTCCAATTACAAGACTGCACAGTAATGCTCCTCTTGTGCCCTTCTCTGTGGTCCAGTGAATCTTGCATTTCTTTCTGCACAGTAGCTCAACTTCAAGAGCGGTGTGGGGGGGGGCATTCCTACTCAGCAAAGCCTGTAGCTTTGACAGGTAAAGTATCCTCCTGAAACAGGGGTTTGGATCTCTCGGTCTGATAAAAATTAATTCTGAATCTCTCCCTTCCTAGGCAAGTGCTGTAGCCATCAGACAGCTATGTAACAGGTGCCTTCTCTCTGATCTGGGCTCTGGTTGCTCAATAGACGGATGTACTCGCTTGCAGACCTACTTGGTCATACAAGCTCTTGAGATGATATACCCCTGTACCTGGCATTTACAATTGATTAGCTCTAGGCAATTCCCTACTCGGTATGAGGAGTTTTTGGGTCGTATTTTTCAGGCATCTAACTCTCATCCTGCACTGTATAAGGAGCCTGTGTGGTGCCTAACTGAGGATTCTTCTCCAGGCCCAGGTCTCTTTAAAGTTATTCATTGTAGCACCTAACTTCTCTATAGATGCCTAAGTCTTTTTTTGGATCTATTCTGTAAGGATTTCACAGATTTATTTGTGAACTCTTAATTTCTATATCTATAGCATCCCTTGCCTAGCATGTAGTCTTTAGGCCCGTAAGTTTTGGGGTTTACTTCCCCCCCCCCCTTTGGATTGTTTTTTAAATTACATTTGCACTGGTGGAACACCATTGACTGACAAAATAAGCTATTGATATAGGCTTAATGTTGCACTGGTGCAATCTGTTACAGTAGGAGTTTGTGGAACTAGATTTAGCTACCCTGGTGCATATGTTTTTAGTATTTACTTTACAGGAATTTTAAATCAAACCAAATCAGGCTTGTGGACTACCAGTTTGTTTATCTCAGATCATCCTTGCTATGCAATTGTTAACTTCCTGTTAATAACCTGAAATTACTTGGATATTGTAATATGTAACCTCTGGGATTAAAGTATTACAGCTATAGAACTAGTATTACATCTCTTGCCATCAGATTTTCACCTGTTATATGTTGAAAACATTTAACCTGTTGGTTTCATTTAGTTTTGATAAATTTAGTATTAATGGTAATCTAAAGGAAAAAAGGAATCATAATCACCAGAACTGTGGACTGAAAATCCCCATTAACTGGGCTCAGAGAAGTACCTAATACACAGACAGCTGAAAATTAGCCTTTTTGTTTCTTTTCAGCTTCTCTCGAAGTTGCATTGGCTTTGCTGTGTCACATCTCAGAATGCATCATTCTATGATTTCCCAGCTACTAATGGAGCCCTACTGGAATGTGGAACAGGTCTTTAGGAGTTCAGGTAAGTGGCTTTTTAATTATGTGGTGCATTTCTCAAAGTTACATTATATTTCATACCTTAAGGGATATAAAACTACATTTCTATCTGTCTTTCTCCCTCCCTTCCTCTCTTGTTTCCTTTTGGGTTTTTTTTTAAAAAGCTTTGAAAATTGTGCCGTATAATTGTTAAAAAGTCACTTGCATAGAGTATGGTGTAGTCAAGTTTTTCCTTTGTACTGTAACATCACAGAATCAAGTCTTTGGGGGATGTCTCAATGAAGCAGAGCCAGTACAATGTCAAGAAGAACCCAAAAAGGGGAAAAAAGTTATGCACTGAATGTTAGTGAGGAGAATCAATACATTCTGAACAAGACTTTTGACACCGTTTCCTGTGATATTATTTGTCATTAATAAGCTAAGGAAAGATGGTCTAGATGAAAATACTATTAAATGTGAAAATATAGTGATTGGATGATTGTGCTCAAAGAATAGTTATTAATGGCTTGATGTGTAATTGGCAGAAGGTACTGAGTGCAGTTCTGTAACAAAGTGCTTGTCTAATGGGGGGTGTAGATTGTGACTGCAACAACTTGGTTTTTCAGGGTGGTTGCTCAGTCCTAGCCCTCCTTAGGTCTTGCCCAGTTTCTGGGCTCCAGGCTCTCTGGCCTCCAAACACTGCCTGGCTTTGGGCATTCTGGCCCCAAATGCTACCCTCCTGTGGGCTTTGCCTGCTCACTTTGTCTTGAGCCTGTTCCCCAGCAGGGCTCAGTATTCATGTGCCTCTAGAGCACTAATGGGACCTCCAGATAAACCATTCTTCACAGTCCCCTCCACAACCACCAGTATTCTAATATAAAAGCCTTAGTCAGTCTGTCTGTCTGTCCATAACACTTTCTTTACACTGTGGTTGTCTCGGCAGCCAATCGGAGTGCTCCAAGAGCGTTCCGGACAGGCAGCAGGGATGGAGTGGGGGGCGAGGCCAGCACTTCTGGCCTCACCCCTCTGGCCCCACAGTCCCTGCTGTTATGGCGGTGCTGTCCTACTCTAGGTACCAACATAACCCAGAACCCTGGGTTATATCCTTCTATAGGCTCTCAGGGTCTTGCTGGTAGTTCCCAGGCAGCTTGGTGGTCAACCAGGCACTCCCTTGCAGCTTCTGTAGCCTGGAGCTCCTTCCTCTACAGCAGTGGTCTGCAACCTTTTTAAGGTGAAGATCACTTTTTGAAGTAAAGGGCAACCCACGATCTACCAAGCCCCTTCCCACCCTCACCCTGCCATGCCCCCCTACCTAGCAGGTCAGTCTGGGTGTGGAGGAGGGACAGACAGAGTCCCCTGCAGTGAGGGAGGGAGTGGGGCAGGGGTGAGTGGGGCCCTGACTGGACTGGGTCAGGTCAAGCTGGTGGAGGGTCGGAGCTCAGGCGGCTCGTCCAGGCACATGGGGGGGGTTTTGCCACTGTGCGCACCCTGGCAGAGGTGTGGGGGAGCATGTACCCCCCCCCAGTCTGTGCATGGGGTGAGGTGGCTGCTGCTGCATGCTGGGCTTTGCGCCTGGATGAGCTGCCTGGGCTCTGACCTTTTCCCGGCCTGGCCTGGCCAGGGTCACACTCACCTGGTGACAGGGAGTGTGGAGGGGGATCATCCCACTTACCTGGCCGGGCCCTGGCAGCAGGGGACACAGCTCAGCCTGGTCACATGCATCCTGCCGCTCCTGCGTTCCACCACTCCCAGGCTGCGTCCCGGCCATTCCCCACATGTGTCCCACTGCTTCCGATCGTGGGGCCACTGACAATAGATCTCAGTCTGGGGTGGGCTAGCCTCCCCCAGACTGAGATCAACTGTCAGGGGTTCCCGGATCAACCAGTTGGTGACCACTGCTGTACACTGCAGGGCCAGACTGTCCTGTTCTGGCTCAGGGCCTGAACCTGAATGACTCCCTAGTCCTACCTGCTGCTAGTCACCTGCCTCCCCCAGAGCTGCTGCAGGTGGTTTCTTATTTGGCTTGGTGATGCAGCTTCAGGGAGGCCCCTTGCTGCTGGGACCTGCAGTGTTTCTATGCAAGTCCCCCAAATCCCTGATGATGCTGTCGCTGTTGGCTCGCTGTTAAGTGTTTGTTCATGTCTTTTCCACCCTTCATTCTGCACTTGGGGCTTGTCTGGACAGCAGACCCTGGAGTTTGACCCCTTCTCAGTAATGAGGTAGGGACCCCATTGTAGAGGTTTGTCCTAGGTCTGGTACTGTTTAGTTTTTTCATTAAGGATTTGGAGGATGAGACTGAGTGAACAATTAGGAAATTTGCAGAGGACATCAAATTGGGTGGAGTTGCAGACACTGTAGAGGGTAGGGCTAGGATTTAGAATGACCTTGATGAACTAGAAAAATGGTCCAAAATGAATCAATTGAAATTCAGTTAGGACAACTGCAAAATCCAGCACTTTGGACGGAACGATTACATGGACAAATACAGACTGCAGAACAACTGATGAGGCTGAAGCAGTGCAGTAAAGAACCTGGGGTTATAATGAACCATAAGCTGAACATGAGTCAACAGTGTGCTCTTGTTGCAAAACAAGCCAAGAGCTGGATTGCATTAACAGGAATGTCGCTTGAAAGTCAAGGGAAGTTATTCTTCCACTTTATTTGGCACTAGTGAAGCCTTACCTGGAGTACTGTGTCCAGTTTTGGTCCCTGCACTTCAAAGGAAGATGTGGACAAATTGGAAGGAGTCCAGTGGAGACCCACAAAAGTGATGATGGGTCTAGGAAACAGGATTTACAAGGAAAGGATGGAAGAGCTGGGATTACTGAAGAAGAGAAGACTCTAGGGAGGATCTGATAAATCTTAAAATACATAAAGAGAACGGCAATATACTATTCTGTGAGGCTGCAGGGGACAAGACTAGACGTAATGGTCTTAAATTGCAAGGGAAATTTAGGTTGGATATCAAGAAGAACTATTTCATGGTAAGAGGGGTTAAATATTGGTACAGATTACCTAGAGGTTGTAAAATCTCTATCCTTGGAAGTTTTTAAGAGCTGATTAGACAAATACTTGTCTAGGATGGTTTAGTAAAGGAGCGTCCTGCCTCAAGCAGGGAGGTGGACTAGATGACCTCCTAAGGTTCCTTTGGATGTATGTTTTTATAATTCTATTGTTCTGTTTCTGCAGTTAGTAACACTTTTAACATTATACATTGAGGACCTTTTTGAAAGTCAACTTTTTGATAGAGTAATCTGAAATGATATAAGATGTGATTTTTTTTTTTTTTTATTTATTTATATAATGGACATGTGGAATTGTATAGAACTATATTGCACAAAAAAAAACACCCCAATTTAAAAGAACACTATGCAGAGTGCAAATTCAGGCACTCAAAATATAAGATATGGCAGAAGTAAGGTTGCCTACGCGACCTTAGTGTGACCTCTTGGCTGCACATATTCCCTCCTGGGACATGGAGCACATGGAAGCTGTGGCCCCTGCCTGGCCATGGAGCCTCATCCCAGGGCTGGGCTGCCTCTACCACATGTCTGGGCAGGGGCCAGAGCTTCCATGTACTTGGTGGCCTGGAGGGATGGAGTCAAGGCTGTGCCTGACAGCAAACAGCTGTGGGGGTGGAAGGCAGAGGCTGTGAGGAGCTGACGGGGGTAGAGGTGTAGGAAGGAGCAGGGGTGCAGGCATTGAAGGGGGGACAAGGGGGCTGCCACATGCAGCTTTCCCTGCTGCAGTGGGGGGGGCAGGAAGGGGAGGTATTTTAAATGACCCTTTAAAATTTAGATTCTACACATTCTGTATGTATATACATTTTTCATATATAGAATCTAAGTATTGGGGAGTTGTGTTTAAATTTGAAGTAGTCTCGTATGTGGGTAAATATGGTATTAAAAGAACAACATTATTAGGCTGAGACTGATGGTATTTTCTTTGGGTTCATTATTTTTATTTTCAGATGCTTATTCTTGTCAGGTTTATTCTAATCAACAGCTAATGTGAAATTTAATTTTTGTTACCGGCATAACTGTAAATAAGAGGAAAGAAAAATATTTTCCAGACTCTCACATGTGCACAAGTTCTTGTATCTTGCTGCATTTAACATTCTAGAACCTCTTGTACCAGAGCTAGTAAGTCTCTTGTTCTTACAGTCTGTTACTAGAGAAGTTGAATAGTACATTTCAATACTAAAAAAGGAAGACAATTAATTCAATACTAATCCACATTTTTTTAATTAAAATGGACAGGAAAGAAAGAGAAAAAGTTCTTAGGAGCAGTAAGGTTCAAGAACGATTATATTGGGAGTTTTGCCAAGACCTTTCTTTTCCATTTCCTTTTTTTAATTCAAAAGATACTGTTGCTTTTTGTTTAAACCAGTAAGCTATGTCTGGCCTTGGCTTGGGGTTTTTGTCTCTTGGATCCCTCTGACTACCAAGTATATAAAACCACCTGGAGGATTAACAAGTCTCCCCTGGTGCTGGAAAGGACAAGGAGCTTTCTTTTTCCTGCCACTCTCCAGAGTGGGAAATGTGGAGACGGTACTATGAACCTTGGAGTTTTTTGGGTGGTTTTCCTCTCTCTGTAACTTGTAGTACATCTGTTTAGGTTCTTTCCAAAAATAGCAACACAAAGTTGAAGTTACTGACTGTTCAGCCACACTTAACAAGGAAATAGACCATACTGGTTGTTAACTTTTCACTCTTTGTTGCAGTAGGGCTGTGACCAGTTTGGTGGCTACGTATCTTTCGTGCAGAAGAAGCCTGTAAGTTTCTGGTCCTTTCTCACTGCCATAGTTGCAACAGACAGGACCAGCTGTCCAGTGCTTTCTTTTATTGATGTCCCTGTTAGTGGATTGAAAGGCCTACTTTTAACCAAGTTTGGTTAATTGGGGTTTTTTTCGTGTGTGTGTGTGTGTGTGTGTGTGTGTGTGTGTACACTATACATGGACAAAGCTAGCCAAACACGGGGCAGAGTAGAGGAGGGTTGTTACAGTAGCTAAGGTGCCCCAATGGTCACAGCAGCCTTGGGACTGAC